TGGCGAAGATGGGGTAATGGATTTTTCGCACTTCGTTTCCTGCGGTTTCTCATTATTAGTTCTCAGGTTTTCGATACTACAAACGCAGCAGCCGTATTCGCATATGGACATGGACCTGAAGAAGACGTTGGTTCAGAAGTTGAACGACATCGCACCGGAGTACGGACTCGTCGAACTTTCATACCCTTCTTTCATACGGTGTTTTGGGTATCGATCACAACCACTCTCGGCGGCAGATGCTGTAGAGGGGGTCAGTGCTCTCTTGGACGTCGCCGAGGGCATCAAGCTCGAGGTCGAGGTCGAAGGTGCACGAAATGGGGGAGAGTGGTTTGGAGGTGGCAGGGTCTGGGAGGCTACCAATACTACCCGGGACAGCAGCCGGAGAAAACGAGAAGAAAGAGAGAATATTCCACCTGGAGGGCAAGGCGGTGGTGCCGGAGCGCCCAAAGCAAAACCCACTGGCGAGGGCGACGACATCGACGGAGAAGGGGATAAGTCGAAAGATGTGCAGTGGTGGGTCAAGAATTTCTGGACGGCATTCGATTCCCTCAGCGAGTAGGTGGAGGTTACTTCCTTCGACGTCTCATTCTCACAATGTTTTCTAGCATCGGGAAACTGAGAGACGCGCTCACTCTTTCCATGACGGTGCACCGGAAGATCATCGACCAGGGCACCTCCATCATCGACAAGCAGGATATCCGCACCATGCGGAACCACCGCGTTGTTGTCATAACGCAGGGTCCACATCTCGCTCTGTTCTCGCACCCCGGAGCGCTCTCGAGGCTCGCACTATGGCTTGTCGAAGCACTGCGCGACCGATTACCCGGGACGAGCGTCAGCGCACGGTCAAAGCGGAAAAGCCTGCCATTTGTCGTGGCGTGCCTTGACGAGAGCACGCAGTCGTACCTCGTCGTTGGTGTCATGGCCGCGTTGGACTTTGGCGACGTGCGGAAAAAGTGCGTATGAGCTCTTTCCTGTCTTGGCCCGCGTTTCTTACCAGTCCCGTACAGCGAGTTTGGGCTTGCATTTCTCGACGCGAAGGAGCGATGTAATGCACGGACACGACACGGTTCGTTTGACACGAGCGTCCTTGAGATCAACCAGGAAGATCTGAAGGTTTTCCTGGAGACACTTTGTGAGGGCCCCGATGCATAGACTGGAGCCAGTAATTTTACTAGTTGTATTTATCGGTGTTGTAATAGTAAGATGTACTGCTAAAAGTCTGCTATTGCTTTCTAAGTTTCTTGCTTTCGTAGCTTGTACACCAAAAGCCCCTATCTTTCGCATCAGCATTTTGAAATGTTAGATGTCCTCTATTTCTTCTTCTTTCTTTCGTTGTACGACTGGAACTTGGAGCTTGGCCCTTGAATCTCGTTCTTGGAAGAACGAGCCGACCTTCGCGAACAGACCATGAGGAAGAGGCTAAGCTACTGTTTGCACTAGTTTCACTTACAGCTCTCTATCAGCGGCAAGTCGCGTCCACGCTCACTCTGCTAGTTAGTTCTCTTGTACCGACCTCCGACCCCCAACCTCGTCTCGAACGACTTGGCACTCTGTTTTGACTCTGCTGGTTCTGATCAATGGCCGATTCAAATTCGGACTCAGACAATGAAGTGGCTCCTGCTGTTGAAGTGACAGGAAATCTCCAGAGGGCTTACAACGACGTGTACAAAAATGTCCAAGAAGAATTTTACGCGTGGAAGGGAGCATACGCCGTTGAAATCCTCGCTGGACTGGCAGATCCAGACAGTCCTGAGCTCTCGCCTGCGAAACAATTTCGCATGCCTCGTGCTTGTTTTCAGTCTGTCCCACCTGCTTCCGACCCCGATGTCATGTACGTCGAGGACTACGACGATGGTATGATCGTTAGGTCGGAGGCCCTACCCTCAATTGTATTTAATCTGGAATACCCCGATTTTCCACCGCACCCGCCATACCAGTACTGCACGCCGGCGTCGCGCAACGAAAACACGGACCTCCTCAATAATAAACGTGCACCGTTTGTGCCCTTTCCCGAGGATACGGCATTCCGCTACAAATATCTCCGCTCTTTTAAAAAACGAGACCAGTGGCGAGCTAATCAGTGCGATCCAGACGGTGATTAAATCTTCTCGGCTGTAGGTTATACATGCCTAAATTTTGTCTCAGAGGAGGTGATGCAGTATGAGGTTGTGCGCCGAATGTACATCGACCGCGGTTTTTCGGCGGAGGACATCGACGTGATACTCAGGGCGTGCGGGCAAACACCGCTAAGGCCGTCGAACGAGACTGGGCTGCTATGGAATGTGAGCCAAAGGCAAGTTTTTGTGATCAAACCCTTTGAAGTGCACCAAATTACTCCATCCACAGAGACTTACCACAGATTGTTTGGGGCGATCACCTGTCGTCCAGTAGTAAACCACAGCTCCCGCCACACTTTGCGCAAAATTTCCCCGAGCCGGACGATATATTTGAGCAGATAAATAGAGGCATGGAAAAGTTTTGCCCTAACCTGAACTGTATAACCCATAACTGTCATGTGCATGGTATGTATACAATGTTTCTATTCGCCCAACGCGACCAATAGCGGTACTGTTCCAGTGGATTACCAGTGGGACGTGCTTCGAACACCACCTATTGAACCGAAGGAGCCGCGCTGCACGAGCAATAAACTACGCGAGATGACTGAGCTCTCGTGCGGGAATGAATGTTTCTTGGACACTTCCGAGGAAGATATGGTGTGTGTGCACGTAGAGGCTGCTTGTATTTTGTAATATCATTTGTTTCTAGGAGGACGCGGACGACGTGCCGCTGAGTGACCAGAGAGTGCTGCATGGCCTACTCAAAATTGAACCCGATATGCTGCCGTGCCATTTGGCCATGATATGTAGGATGACTTGCCGAATCGTAGGGGCCTTTTTTCTTCGACTGCGATGAATAACTTAATTGTGCTTCGTAGGCCTTTACGCTTAGGAAGCAAAACATCGACGATGAGGACCTCGTGTTGGAGATCTCGAGCAGACGCAAGTCAAAGAAGAAAGCCGGGCTCAATTTTTGTACATTCTTGCTTCCGATATTATTCAAAATCGACGCGCTTATCACTTGCTTTTCTAGCCGGGCAAGTCCCACCGTAAGTATCTGTGGCCTTGCCGTGCGTGTCTGTATTTGACGAAGCATTTGAATTGCAGAACCACGCCGTGCGCGCACGCGGGCCCGTGCTCCAGCGCAGCCTGTGGTTGCTTCAAGAGCAAAAGATACTGTGAGCGAAATTGCCGTTGTGAGGGCGACTGTACGTCTGTTCTCCCGATGATCCAAACTACTATGTACTTGCTAATACCAGGCGCGCGGCGCTGGCCGGGGTGCAACTCAAGCTGTCGCCAGAATCTGAATTGCAGCAACCGGAGCCGGAGGAAGTGTAAGTGTCGTCTGGCGGGCCGCGAATGTGACCCAGAAAAGTGTACTATGTGCCACGCACGGTGCGTTTCCGCCCCTCCCCCTCCCCCGTCTGTTATCATATATAGCAACTCACTTGGGCAGGGACACGCACACACGGTGCAAGAACGTCCGACTACAGCTGGGGAGATGCAAGGCGAGTCGTTTTTTCTGCTGTTCTATTTGCCAAATAACCCACTCCTATGCAGCGCTTCGAGGTGAAGAGCTCGACTTATGGTCTCGGCGCGTTCGCGTCGGAAAAGATCAGGGCGGATGATTGTATCGGTGGTGTGTCGGGGTCATCATTCATGTAAAGTTAATCTGAAACCGAATAAAGAGTATGTCGGGGAACTGGTAGATGACGCGGTGGAACACCGGTGTGTTCTCTACTCTCCATTTGCATATGCAAAACGCTCATGACCATATTTTGTCAGGGACATAATTCGTCGCCACAGCGGTCTGAATTACGTGGGTCGGTCCTCTGTTCGGTGTCCCAACCTTGAATACGTTTTTTCGCAGTGTTTTGGGATGCTGGGTACGACAATCGACTCACACTGGTTCGGGAATCCGACCCGGTTCCTCAACGACTCGAAGCCCAAGCCGCCGAATTGCGCGGCAGTAGGTGCGTAACGTGTAGTCTCTCTCATTCCCTCAAATTCTCTTTTACTTTCTTTTACTGATAACTGGCTCAGAGACTCTGGTCAACGGCGACCGCCGAATCGTAATTTTCGCGCGTGAGTTTCGACAGAGTTCTGATGGGTTAAAATCACTGATGAATTATAATATAGTGGAGGATATTAGAAAGGGGACTGAACTGACCCTGGATTACGGTCCTGGATATTGGGGCAAGGAGGACCAAGCCATGGGGATCGAAAATGATATCGATGCAGAGTCGCGAAGAGAAGAATAAAGGCCCGCCGGACGGCACACTCACATTATCCCACACCATTATTCCAAGTTGGTCTGCATAGACTGCCTTGAGAAAAGGTCCCTGAAAAAGTCTTGTTTTCTTTCCATGTTCATTTGAACTTGCACATTGAGAGCTTCTTACCGCGAACTCGAAGCCCGGTTTCAGTCGAATCAGTCAACAGACCAGAAGAAATCTTAAAGCATGGATTTCGGATACTCCGTTTCAGCATCACCGATAGGGACGGTTTGAATGCAATGGAACATATCCACTGCCAGATCAATGCTTAAATTCATATCTTCGGTTTGGACGAAATTGGCACGTTCACATGTACAGGAATACTCCTCCCGATCCGATGGAATACAGTGGAATACTGACAGCCTCCTGTCGGACGAACGGCTACCTACCGCTTTATAATTATACTCCCGCGGGAGTTACTAATCGACGATGTTGCTTTTAGATTCAGCGGCACAATTGAATCCCACTGAGCAAGTCCATTCGTGTTAAAACCGACGCATTTAATAGTATCGCGTTGGTGCATTAGCTGCGGCAATGCTCGAACCTTGCAACATTCTGAACGCGCAAAATCCAATATTAATATCCAAATAAGTGAGACGTAGATCGGATGTCGCCGACGCTATATAAAAATAAAACTAAAAATAAAAAATTTGGGAATCGAATATAGCAGCAACTCGTTTCGATCGAGTGACCTCGGGGTTTCCAATTGCGTATAGATTACGTAATGATATGGGCCCCGCGCGCTTCCAGCTGCGCCATGCTGCTGTTATCCTCAAAGAATAGCCAACATATATAATGATACTTAGCGCTTGTATTTTCGACGGAGTAATCATGGCTGCTAGCGCGGATAAACTAGAGGCCGTCAGCGGTACGTGTGAGAGAGAGAGGGGAAGAGAACGTATTCAGAACACCAGAGTGGGTTCTGAATGCGTGGGTGTGGAAAGAGCCAAAGGCTCTCCGCTCGGCCGCCCTTCGGGCGGATGCGGGAGAGTGGGGAAGACACGCAAGGCGATCGGCACCGCACGTCTTCACGGCAAACTCAGCTCCGAGCGGGGAAACTGACTCTGAGCATGCAGTGAAAGGAAGGAGGCCGTAGGAGGCACGCCAAAGGCGCCCAAGCCAACTCCCCAACCCAGAGCGCTAGCTCCAACGGTTGGCTTGCGCCTGCAGTGTGTGCTGGCCACCGCACACAAGAGCTAGTGCGAGGGGAGGAATGATCAGGGAAGGGAAACAGAACAGTAACTCTGGGCGGTATTAGTTGTTGAAGAGGAATAATATTGAATGCAGAGGAACAAATACGACTGTGTAAGGTAGGAGGGGTAGGAAACAGGACGCGCAAGCTAGGACTGATAAGAAGACGGGGCGCGCGAGCTAGACCTCGTCGAGAAGTCTGAGGTCTTTGAGTGAAGGCATGATGATGTTGTGTGCCACTCGAAAAGCTTTGAAAGCTTTGGCCACTTCGTCGAGCTTGGTCTTGTCGTAAGCTTTTCCGACATGCATTGGTACAATGTGTTCGATCTTGCGCCAGTAAAGTAGGAATGCGAGGGAAGTCCAACTGCCCAGGGCGGCGACGATGTCGGGGGGTATGCCAGCGAGTAGGAGCTCGGTGGAGCCACCAATGTGAAAGCTGTGGCCGAAAGCGCGAAGGATGCCGGTGGTGTCCCAGATCTGTGTGCAGCGTTTCATGAACCACGTCTTGGTCATAGGTGCCCAGGAGCCGTTGGGGGCCTGGAAGGGGAAAAGGGGTGTGGAGGCTGGGACTGCTGCATTAACAAGGGTGTGGTTGTCAAACACCTTGACTGGGCAGAAATTGTCGTTGCAGGCGGTGATCGTGAGCAGGCCCCTGCATTCGCGTGTGGATTTGGTCCAGGGGAGAGTGATAGCATAGTCCGGCGTGGTGATGTGCTTTAAAGCCGCACTGTGTGTAACGTGGAATTTGGGATCGAATTCGGCCAGGGACGGGACCGTGGTTTCGCCCAAGCGTCTGCAGCCCCAGAAAGTCATGCAAGCGGCGGCCCAGAGCGCGGCGTCGAAGGGGGCGTGGAGGTAGAGCTGGGAGCGGAGTGTGAACAGGTGCTGGATCGTGACGAGTCTGCGCTGCTCGCGTTTGAATGCGGTGCCTTCTTTGTTGGCGGTGCGGCACGCTAGCTTGACCCAGCGGTTCTCACCTTGCCATGGGGCGCTGTTGATGTCGTGCCAGGCCTTGAGCCCGGACATCCAGGACTTGACGTGCCACCGCCTACGCGGCCGATCCAGTTTGCGATGAAGGCGGTAAGGAGGAAATAAGGAGCAGGCATTCTCATGCCTTCGGAGATGTGATGGAGGTTGCAGTATTGGTGGAAATGCAGTAGGCCCGCTGCATAATTTTCGTGTGTATTGGGTGCGAGGCCTCCTATTACGGCTGCATAAGCTTTGTCAAATTCGGATGTGGGTAGGACAGTGAGAAGGTGGCGTTGACGGGCTCTAGCGAACGGGGACGACCAGGTGCAGATCCGGTCGAGCACCAATACGTGCGGCTGCCATTCGTTAGCTTCGATCTCGCAGCCCAGGCGGGCTCGGCGGGCGGCGGGCTCAGGGGGCTTCAAAGGCTGCAAGGTAGACTTGGGCACGCGTGCGGCGCGTGGCGTGCAACGTGTCAATGGCGGTAGGTGTGGCGGGTAATGCACGATGGAGCAGAAGAGCGGTTGGGTGGGTGCGGGTGTTGTAGCTGGTGTGTTGGCAATAGGTGCAGTGCCAAACAGGGCACGCCAGGAGCGCGTGGTGTTGGCGATGGGGGCGGGGGCGAGTGCTGGCACTTCATCGGTGGCGCGAGGGGTGGTATGGACCAAAAAGTTGAACATAGGTGCGGGATCGAGGGAGAGGATGAGGTCTTGACACAGCCACTGTGTATTTGTGTAAGGCCGAATATGGGAGCAGGAACTGGACCGGCGGGAACGTGGAATAGGGCGTCAAGAAAACGAGTTGTTATTGCGGTACGTTCAATTTCTAGGTACGTGCGTAAGGTAGTCCGAAAGTTCTTTAGGTAGGGAAAAGGACGAAAAGAGATGTCTAGAAGCCGGCCAAAATTCGCCCCGAGACAGAGGGTCTGCAGGGTTCTTCTTGGACTCTATGTAGGTAAGGTCAAGGGAAACGTTAAGCGAAGCTAGGACGTAGGCTGAGCAGCATATGGAAAGGTTGATATTGAAGTTACAGCTGCGGCCTTTGTCGAAGGCGCCGATAATGCCTTTGTTGTCCGAGTGTATGAGTAGGTGAACGTCTCTGAGCCCGCGCTCTTCGATGGTGTAGATAAGCAGTTCGAGAGCAACACCCTCGAGCCAGCCGATATGGCGGGTCTTAGAGCACCAGCCGGGGTTGCACTGCCAGGCGTCCCAGAAACCGTTCGCCGTGATCCCGATGCCCCAGGAAGTGGAGGCGTCAACGTAGAGGTGTTTGTTGATGTGGGGGCCACGCTTGACAAGGGGGCGGGTGACGCAGGGAACAGCGAGCGTGTTGAACCACCATGTGAGCTCGGTGATAACTGGGCCGGGAGGGTGACGAGTGGCGTATTTATTGCCTTTGAACGAGGCAATGAAATTGGTGAAGGCGGGGAGGTGGGAGCGACCCTCTTGGTGGACAAAGGTGATGTGGCAAAGGGAGCCGTGGATCTTCATCACAGTGTTCATCGTGCATTTCCGGCCACAGAACCTGTCGATAAAGATCTGTACGTGATCCCGGAATTTGATCTGTTTCGCTTCGGGGAGGGCAACGGTGCTCGCCTCCATGTCCCAGTCAAAGCCGATGTAGAGGAAGGCGAAGGTGTAGTCCAGCCACTTCATGGGGTGCCATGGGACCCTCGCCCGTACTGTTACGACCATGCACTTTCCGATCCGTTCTGGTCTTTCCGGCCATTCCGGTTACGGCTGTTACGTTCTATCCAATCCTGTTGCGTCCGGCTAGTTTCGTCGATGCACACCCTTTAGGGTTTTTGCAATGAAGGTCTTCTGAGTGTTCCCCAAATCAATCATATGACTTATGCAACCATGCTTCCCTCTTATTGTTCTTATTGTCCTTATTGTCTTTTACATACTTCTTTCCGCATTAGACTTATCTCCGTATTTAGTATAAAATACATATTATGTTCTGCTGTATCTTTAGTTGAAAATTAATGTGCTTTGCCTCCACATCGCTCCGTGGTCTGATTCCGTCTTTCCGTCTCCGAGCCAACTTAGTTGGTGTACCCGCTCACCTTCGTGGTATCACTTCCGGCCATCTCCGTCCTTCCAGCCATCTCCGTCCTTCCGGCCTTCCGTTGTTCTCTGGCCTTTCCAACACGGATATAACACGTACGACGCAAGCGAGGGCCGATGCGCAGTTGCGTGGGGGTAGGAGTAGGTGATCATCCCAGTCGATGGGCATAAGGAGACGGAGGAGGGAAAGCGGGTGGCGAGGAAGTCGTCCTCGTATCTGTTGTTCGGCTTCATGCCCTTGGCCGTCCAGATGCCTTCGATTGCGCCGCCTATCATCCCGGCATTGCCGCTCAACGAAGAGCAACTGAAGGGGGTGTTGTGTTCAATGTAAAAGAGGCCGTCCAGGCCGCATAGCACGAACCATTTCTTGTGTGCCGGTAAGATCGGGACGGTCCAGTGGAATTTTGCTATGTTGAGTACCATCGCCTGAGCTCCGGGTGGGGCGTTGGTGATCTGCGTCGGGTAGGGTAAGCGTACAGGAAGACGGGTAGGGGTAGGAGGTGCACGTGTAGGGTGGAAGGAGGCATGCGCCTGCGGGGCGACATGAAGTAGGGGGAAAGGGTAGGGTAGGGCACGGTGTATCGGTAGGGCATGGAGTGACAAGGTAGGGTGGGTCAAGGTCCGACTAGGGTAAACGGTACTTACGATATCCGCGACGTTTGAGGCCGTGCCAACTTTTGTTGGGAATTTACCCTTGTTGACGTAGGAATTGGTGGACGCGTTATTTGGAGAGATGGCGGCAGAGGCGGAGCTTGTCCGGGATGCCGGGGCCCTGTGTCTGTACTGAGACCAGCATGGGGGAGCACTGGAATGGTCCTTTGAGGATCGTCTCAGCCTCTTACTGGGTGTACGGGCCGCTCATCCTGCTTGCGGCAATCTCCTCCTGGATGTATTGGTTGACGAAGTCTGCGTTGTCGGTTACCGAGACATCGTTGGGGAAGCTAATGGTGGAAGGGATAGAGTCGGGGAAGTCGCCCATCGGGAAGCCGTTCTTCAGGTTGCGGGCGAGGTTCGGGTACTTGTCTGCTAAGCCGTACGCGTCCAGTAGCTTTTGGATCTCGTCAGCGTTGTAAGGGGTAGTGATACGGTTCAAAATCTCATTATGCTCCACCAAGCGCGGGTGGGGAAAATGCTGTTCCAAGAAAGAAGCTGCCTCGCATTCAGTTTGTGCAGGGCGGGGGGTTGCGGCAACAGGTCCACGAGAATGCGTGGTGGTTCCTGTTTCCACAGAAGGAGCAGAGGTGCGCTCGCACGGTGAGATCGTGCGAGCAGGAGGCGGCCGCGCATTTGATATTCCACAGCTGGCAAAGTGTCATGCTGGATTGAATCACCCAAATGTTGTTGGTGCCTTCGGTGTGGCAGTAGACCGGTGTTCCGTCTTCAAAAGTGTTGTGGGTGCAGGTGAAGAGGAAGTGGCCGCGCCTTGCACAGAGAAGGCAGACGACGTTGGAGGCGTCACTGCCGCTGCCTCCCTGAAAGGGGCCGGCACCGCGACCAGTGCCCCCATTTCCAGAGTCACTGCCGCCACCACCGCCGTGG